GATAGAGATACAGTAGGAGAGTCCAATAACTCCTATAACATTTAACCATCACGATTCCCTTTCATCTTCATCTACAATTATTCTGAATATTACATTAACAGCACAAAATGAACAATAATCTAAAAATCATTTTTAGTTTAAACAACAATGACCCAGTATACAATTTCAGCTTTAAATATGTCGTAAAAATACTCACAAAAATATTGATTTCCAATAAATTACATTTTGATAAACAAATGGTTCAAGATTGTGAAAAATTGTCATAGTCTATGGGCACCCAAACCTATCCCAGGTATTGCTTTTCTTTGTCCATTCCCCTGCCACTGAAGCACACCAAATAATCCTAACCATTTCACTTTGGTAGATGAAGAGGTAGTTTCTGACTGAGGACTGATTGTCTTTGTAAGAGCCCCTGTACTTAGCCCCACAAATCATTATGATCTGCAGATTTGGCCTCTCTGTCAAGTCACACTATTGTTCAATGGCACTCGGTTGTCTGATGCTTGCAAAAATGGCACTCGGTGTGTAAAAGGTTGCTGACCCCTGCTCTAAGCATTATGGAAAGTCTGGGGGAAATAGGGAGGGGGTTAAATGGAATAAGAGCTCCCAGGTTTGGGGAGCCTAGACCACCAAGAAACCCATTTATACTCAGCATGGGGTATCAGTACACACCTTTAGACACCTGCTATCGATAATATACTAAAATCATTATTTTCTAGGGCTGGTAATGATTAAAATGTATCAATTATCAAAAATAAAAAATGCAGAGGACTTGAGTTCGCAATTCACAGCAAAGTCAGGACAAGCATCTTCAATGGCTAGGTCAATCTTACACAGCAACCAGAATTTCACGCATGAGTCAGCTAAAACCAAAGCATCCCTAATGTTGGGGAACCACTGCCTAATTCAGACACTAGACTGACACAAAAGTTTTGGGAGCACCAGGTAACCAGAACATGCACATAAACCAGCCGCGAAGCTTAGTTCCTATAGGTGCACTGTGACAAGGGAGCTGAGTTCACAATTTACAGCAAAGTCAGGACAAGCATTGCCAGTGGCTAGGTCAGTACGAAACAACAATCAGTGTTTCACTCACGAGTCAGCTAAAGCCAGAGCATGCCCTTCAAAAGGTCCTTAAGCAATCGAGATGCGCACCAGTATCTGACTCCTCCCCCCTTCCCTTCGTTAGCCGACAGAGCCACTTGGGGAAGGGGGGAGGAGTCCGGTGACGTCGATGTCCGTGACGTCACCAGATCTCCGACGGAAGACCCGGAAGCCGGCGGAGAGGTGAGTACGGATCAAAAGATCTTTGATCGATCAAAATAATTTTGATCGATCAAAAAAATTAACGATTTATTATTAAACTATTATTTTCCTATTGTGATAGAAGGGAAGCATCATGAAAGCCTAACCCGACCTCCATGATATTGATAAGACATAAGCATTATCATGTTCCCTTATAGCAGAGTTCCGTGCTCCATGCTCCCCACCCAAATTGACCCTCCTGTATAAACTGTACTAACTGGCACATGTTAAAATTTTGTCTGTTGTCTGTCATGGGGGAGCTGATATGACAACATGCAGGTTTGTTTGTGTGTGCCCTAGGGCATGTCTTAGAAAGCTGCATTTCCGCAGACACTCTATACCTGCTTTGTTTTAAAATCCATTATGGCAACAATCAAAGTCTGAATATTGCCGAGAGTTACAGAAAACACTATAAAAACTTTTGAATAGTTGACATGCAAATAAAAAAAACATTAGGTGCAGGTCAGCCTTTTTAAAAAATTATATATAGTTTCCTCTAACTCCGGATGAATTATACGGGAATCTGTCAACTGCTGCAAAACAGCACATCTATTTTGTATGACTAAAATGATTTTTAGTTAAGACACAAAGGCCTCTTTCTTAAAATACTTTGCTTCTAAGCCAATATTTTGCCTTTTCCTTCAAGTAAAATGCAAAGATATAAACAGATATTACTCCTGGGAAAATGTGATTACTGATATGAGCCCAAAAACCATTTCTTGAGTGCATATTTTTTAACAGCTTGGAACCATAGTAATGCTTCAACAGTACTAATGTCCCTTGATGTTTTGCTCTTATCTATGAGTATAAAAAGTCAAACATCTGGATAACAAATCTTGTGATATGGTTACATTAAGATGTATTCCAGGACTGAAATTTTAGATCATAGAAGTACTGAATATTTAAAGGACCAGTAAGCCAAAAAAAATCTTTGAACTTTATGTGAGACAACAATGTATAACATTCACAAATATACAGTGAGAAGTTATACGACAAGTCATGTACTGTATATATTATTAGTATTAGAATAGATACAGATGCACCTCAGGCTTATAGAGGCATTCGTCCAGATTCCCAGGGCAACTCCAAAGTAAAGTGTACAAAGCAGAACAGAGACTGTCCTAGTGCAAAACCTCCTTATTAGAAAGTAAAAACCGCCAATAAAACACTTCCAAACACTAGTGCTCCCCCAGAACTAGGGAAATAATTTGCTTGCTCTCTCCTGGGAACAACACAAAGTTTCTGTGTACGTCCCCTTCAGTGATGACATCACAGTGCTGTAGCTCTTTCCAACGCATTTCATTTTTGACAATCATCCTTTAGGGACGGTCACAGCACTGTAGCGTGCAAACAATTCAAATACATTTAAATATAAAAAAATAGATATTAATAAAGGTCTCCAACATGACCAATATTAGCCATTCCTCATTAGTATGATATTGTAAAATCCAATAAACAAACAAGATTGCAATATCTCATAAAAACACCTTACTCAACATAAAATCAGATTATACCCATATAGATATAAAAATATATATAAAATGTACCTAAAAAGGAGGGAAGTAAGAACAATTGTCAATCAATTGTGTCTATGATTAAGCCTATATGAGAAGCTATAGGATCGGTGTTGGATGATTTTAATGTGTACTTGGTTGGTATGAACTTTCAATAAATCTAGATATTTTATGAACTGTAGGAAGTGTGTAGAAAACTATGTTCTTAGATCACAAAAGAGAAGAGAACTCATCATAACTCTTATCTCTGCTGTCAGGAATTATATGCTGCCTCTACATATGGACATGTAACCTTGAATAAAGACTTTATAGCTCTTAGTGGATTTCTCTAGGGACAAGCAGTGAAGGATTATGGTAGGAAAAGGGATTCTCTCAGTGAGACCTTAAAGCAGAATTCCAGGACAAAATGTTCTTAACCCTTGGAGTGGGGATACCCCTGCACTGCAAGGATTTAGTGCTTGTCTTGGTCTAGGTGCTAAAAAAATAATGCTTACCCGAACTGAGGAGCTGGCTGGCTGCTACTCCAGTCCCCGAAGCCTGTCTCCTCTTTCGCTGCAGCGATAGTCCCTCAGCATCCTCACGCCCTATACACAGTTTATAGAATGTGATGACTCAAGGATCCTTAGACCAACTTCAAGGATTGGGTGAGTACAACTTTTTTTTTCTTTAGGACCTAGCCAAAATGTGAAACTTAACCCTTGCACTGCGTGGGTAGTCCCACTGCAAGGGTTAAGAACATTTTTGCCTGGCGTTCTGCTTTAATAGGTTCAGGTTACAAGACCACTAACTCAACTGCCTTATCCACAACATGGCTCTGCTTCTAACTGCCCTAGGTTTGGACCAAAGTAGCACAAATTTAACAGTTCTACAAGTGAAACGCACCAGCTGAAGATATTACATTTCAGCATGTGCACAGTACTGCTGTTTTAAGCTTCTGTTTTATCATGGCTTTGGTACTTCTTAAAGTGTGTGTAAAGCCTGACCTTTTTTAAATTTTGGATATAGGGTCAGACTGGGACCCTTTGGCTCACCAAAGGAAATGCGAGTAAGGGGCCCACCTTGTAGGGGTGTTCACAGCGCGCCGCTACATATTGCATTGTTTGATGTTGACAGGCCTGTACATTATATATTACCCCAAAGTACATTATATCATAATCCAATAACATAACATATCAAGCCACAACAGCACATTATTCATGACAGCATAACATATTAATCACATACCTTCCAAAGCTGGTGAGCCAGAGATTTCTGCATGGTGAGTGGAAAGCGTTTAATAGCCACACACATAGTACACTATGGCCAAATTATATAGTAATATGATGGTCTTGACAAACAGTGCTGACTTTACACCACTGAGGCAAAAAGCAAATGGACGTTACCCAAGGCTGTAACGTGGCAAATGTTGCTTCCCCTGCCTGGCCAAGGTCAAATGTGGCGATGAGTAAAGGGGTTACACTGTGGCATGCTGAAGCTGGTAGTGAGACTTGGGAGGTGGGGGAGCTGCAAAACAGTTCCCTCCCACCTCATGCAAAGGCTCCCTCCATAAACTATTGGCCACCAGGGTCAGATTCATACTTTATTCTCTTCTTGCCCAGCTACCTTGCTATCACTATTTTGTAAACAAACATTTTTTTGTATGAACCAGGCTGATTGTAGATTACAGAATTATAAAATAAAGACTACATAAACTAGACAAAGGGATTGGGACTGTAAACTTTCCTGTGATCCAATTTGTTGGAAAGCTGCCAGTCTGTTATAACACAAGGCTGAACTGCATCATTCATAATGTGTTTAAAGCTAAATGACACACAATTGTCAGCTTGCAGTAAATAAATACCTTTTGCAGTTGGATCTTGTCCGTATTTCTTCCTGGTATTTACATAGTTCCTCGCTGACTCTGGCAATCTCTTTTAGAGCCTGAAGTGAATGAAACATTTCATTAAACTGTAGTCGCTATGTGCTATACAAAAATATGACCAAATTGTCAATCAAACCAGTACTCACATCATTCAACGTGTCGTTTTCGGTTTTGGACATCCTTTGGGCTAGCCAATTTTCTGATTCCGGTTTGCGAGCATCAAGCTTTTTATCAGATGTTTTGGATTCAGTTGTATTCTCCTTATTTGAATGCTGACAGTTGTTAACCAATAGTTTAGTGTTTTTGTCCGGCCCAGTGCTGACTATGTGGTTTTGGTGGTTTTGTCTTTCACAGTTAATTGGCTTGGTGGGTTCCGTCTGTGAGGGGATTGAGAACTGGAGAACTTTTTCATCAACATCACCGTCATCACCGTTCAGATTTTTCTCCCTTCTTAGTTTGACTTCCTGGTACAGCTGTATGAGACACCACAAAAAGGGAACAAAGTCATCACATCAGACACATCAAGTATGCAGAACCTTAGCCCAAAAAAACAATATAAAAATCAAACTTCAAAATTCAAAGATAACATAAAGAAGCAGGTTTTCCTTCAATCCAGACCTGTCCCCCACAGTACTTTTTTATGCCACTAGATGTTCATAGTCTGACAGCCAGCATTATTCAGCCCAGTTTCTCTGAGACCAGGCCTTCATAAACACACCTGTGACTCAACAGTGAAGGAGAAAAAGTGCAGTAAGGAGCTCATCACTCACTCTGATTTCTACTCCTATCAGCATGTATCTTGTCCACACATTAACTGATTGGCTCCTTGTGCTGCTTTGCCCTCTCACACATTGCACTCTTGTGTACAGGGCTGATAAAAGGAAACATTTAGGTACTTTGCTTACACTGGAAAAAATATTAAATAATGTAATAATGGATACAGAGCTGCATTAATTTGTGTTTTTATCTGCTTAGAGTTCAGCATTAAAGTTTATTTAGGTTTGTTAACAATATGCTTTTACATATCAGACCCTCCCTCAACTTCTCCACCTTTATGATTGAGCTTCATACCACCCTCAGATCAGAGCAGTCTAATTGCTGCTGCCTGCTCAATGAGAGGGAAGTTGAGCCCTTAGTAATAAAATTAAACCAGAAAGGTAGATGGATTAAATCAGGGGGTGCTAAGAGGAGGCTTTTCTGGCTATCTTACAGGGGAAGACAAAAAATAATATGGAATTCAGGTGCCGGTTTGTCCAATTCAGAAACCAGCAGGAGTTTTTGGGAGTCGGCTCCATTGACGACAACAACAACAACAGAAAACCTCAAAAGTTGGGCACCAGCTGTCATTTTTAAGCACCATTGGCTACCTGGCTCCTGGAATTTGTCCAGCACTTGGCTAACGTAAGTAAATACAGGCATTTTAGGTTGTGAGGGTTACTTTTAAAATTCTAAAATGACTGTCAGGTGTACTTTGAGTATGTGTAAACATAAATGAATTACAACTGTATACAAGAAATGGTTCTACCATTCAGAAACATATACAGTATGAAAAAAATCTTCAGGAAGTTATCAGAACAGAATATATATGAAATAATGTATGGTTCGGGAGGCAGAGCCCTTTTCTACATACAATTCTTCACAGTACTCTCCTGTTAATAGAATCAACAGGCAACTGAATACAGATTGCCAGGTAAAGTATCCTTCCTATCTCCTCTCAATAAAAGTAGCTTACACTCCCCTGCTTCAGATGCATCACCTTAAGATTGCAGGAAACCCTGGTTTCCATTATGTGCAGTACAAATCTGGGACAGGGTAGGGGTATTCATTTTGAATAGGGGGCCTTGGATATCTAACAATTAGACCTTGCAGCCAGCCAGTAGTTATCCTTTAAGGCTAAATTTTTGGCTGTGTTTAAGCTCTCAAAAGTGGGATCTCTCTTGGAGATTACAACCCAGTTACTATTTTAATCAGCTTTAAGCCAAGCAGACAAAGTCACGGCTCAGTGAATAATTCTCCATTCCTACAGACAATACACCAGTTAATTGGTTACCTGATTTAAGAAAGACATGAAGGACTCATTCAAACTGGCAGCAAGAACAGGTGGTTGATCTGCAGTTGAAAAGCTTACCAAGCAATTAGCAAAGCTCCTTACTAAAGTGTTAATGGACTGCGAACTATGTAGTACACATAAAAAAATTTCAGTTGAGAAAACGTTCATAGGGTAGCCAAGCTGAGCATCAAAGTAATAGAAATCCATGATATTGTCTTAAAAAAGACAGTTGGGTCTATATATTGAAGCAAAAACACCACAGCAATCACAAAAAATGCCAAATATCACAGCACAAACTACTTCAAAGTGGGTCACTTTCTCTACATTACTTCCCTTAAAATTGTTTAATAATAAAAAAAAACATCAAAGAGGGCATTTGGAGTTTTTTGGCGCAACTTAAAATGATTGGTTATTCAGCATTCATCCCTTACATGCATGCCCATATGAACTTAGCCTGATGGTAGCATAGAATTTTAACGGGAAGATGTCAGCACTGAAATCCCAGATTAATGTACACAGCCACAACCACGACACGTCTGCCCATCTGCATCCACCCAATACTGACATATAAGATATGGGATGATGTAACATTTATGAAACCTGCTGACTGGTTCCTCAGGGCAAATATGTAAAAAAAGACAGCACTGGACTCCTTTTCTGTGTTTGGATTTGCACATTGTCACCATTTATCCAAGCACCCAACCCTACAGTCCCATTATAGAGATTTGTGTGGCGTGGTTTGATTTACTGATGGTTCCTCCGGGCAGACACACAGCAAAGGATACAATACCATACCATAGGGGAAGAACACAACAGCAGAAAAATAACCATGCCTTTCTATAGGAGAAGAACACATCAGAAAAATAACAAAGCCTAGAAGATGTTGTAATCATGACCTAGACATGGCAATACTAAGTTGTTATGATCCAAGAAATATATTACCTCTTCTATCTTTTTCTGCATCACTTTCCATTGACATTCCCACTCTTTTCTTTCACTGTCAAATCTTTCCAACAACTCCATCTTTTCCACTTTCCAATTCTGATCATTATTTTCCAACTGCCTTTTGAGTTCCATCGCTGCAATGTGAGTGTCTTCCAGCAGGCGCCTTTGCTCTGTCTTTTCTTTCCTCACGTCTCTCTGAGTGTCTGAAGTACTTTTACTGGCACATGGCTTGGCCGAGTTAGCTTCTAGCTAAAAAAAGATGAGTGACAAGCGTATGAGCAAAGCACTATTAGAAGTCCTAGCAAATAAAAAAAAGAAACAATTTCACTTGCAACATCATGCAATTTATATGGCAAAATGGCCAGTTAATTTTTTCAATGCATTTAAGAAATTAATAATATTATTGAAGTCACATAAACATATGACAAATGAAAAGCTCCAGATTTGTATAAACTGAAACCGTATGGACTTATTTAGGCATACAGGGCAATACTAGGCAACAAAAAAAACACATTAATTGAGCTACTAATGCTATCCAGCAAACCTTACAGCTGTGTTAAAAATCAGATAAATTATTTAATTTATATTTATCCATTGTTGTACTGTTTCGTAAAAGAATACTAGGGGGCCAATTTATAAATCATCCACCTAGCCATACGATGGGCGAATGCCATTCCTGCCACTAAATGGAACCTAGGAGCATTGATAAATAGCCCTTTAGGAGTGAGCTCTCTGAAGCATCTCCTCTAATTTTGTCTCTCTGTTTTCTATAGTACCAGTTACATTCAAAAGTCAAAGGCATATTTGAATTTGATTGGTGCGTTTGAGAAAGTACTGGCACTTTTTTTACATTTGGCTTTGTGCATGTAAGATAGAAGAAGCCTCCATTGGACCTGTCTGGGAATTCTTTCCTAAAGCACATTCGGGGGTTCTCATAGCAGCAGATTAATGACTAAAGGGTGTGGGGGTGGACTAGTGCACTACAGCAATGTCTGGAACAATGTCTGGATAAATAACTGAATTCCTGAGCAAGACTGTGCTGTCTTTATGGATCTCAAGGCATCATTTTTCATTTTTATTTCAGGATTGCTTGGACATTTTTATTTCAGCATTGCTTGGATGTGAAAAACATATACAGGTGTCACATCAAGCTTGTGCATCTGCAGATAGAGAGGAATGAGTTCATACTACTCTGCAGTTACACAAATCAGATGTGACATCTAGAAATGTTTTCACATTCTTTGATTCCACGCAATCCTGAAGGGATATCATGTACAAACCCTGATGAAGGGAGAGTGTGTGGACCCCCGGAAATGCATTGACATTTTACCCTGTTGATCTTTTATCAATAAAAACTTACTTTGAACTCTATTGCCATTGTTGTGGTGCCCTTTGCATCTTTGATTGACATTTACCAAAGTCTTCCCTTTCAGTTTGGAGGTTCTTTGTTGTGTGGGAGCAACCACACTGAGGTGATCCAGCTTTATAAATGAGAGTCATTCCTGATACTGGAAACTAACAGGAGATCCTAGCACCTCTCATTTATACATTTCTAATTTTGACTGAATGTAGGGCACATTCACACCACACACATAGAGAGCATGTATGTTGCTGTGCACTGTGAATGCCCACTTCTTTCCACTGCAATACATTTTAACGGTGCTTGTTTTTTTCCTTCTTTTTAATAGTATGTTATTCTCATGTGCTGCAATACATTGGGTGCATTACGGGGCGTCTGAACGCTCTTCAAAAAAAAAAATGCAACTGATGTATGTCCCTGGACACAGACTGTCTGCATCCAGGGACATACATCTGTACCTCTACACAAATATATGCTCTGATCTGTGTTTACCAGCACACGCAGCCTGTCAATTATTTGCACAGGTCAGCTGTAGACAACACCTGCGGCTCTCCAGTGCATAGATCTGCCCATTTTCTATTGTGTTAGACATCTACAGCTATGTAAATGAGCCTTAGTGGATGCTTTACATGCTCAGTTGTCCATATAAAAATACCTGCTTGTAAGTACATCATTGAGTATATTTCAACTCCAGGCAGAAATAAAAACACCATCTAATCCAGTTACGTATTTACTAAAAATTAATTAGGAACGAGCATATATGCTTGTATCTATCTTGTTATCAGCCTCCTATAAAATTCTATACAGCAACACTGTGGGAAAGGGAGAAGCAGCACTATGAGCCCATCAGAGCTCTATTGTATTGCACAGTGCTGTCATTCAACGGTTTGAATATGCTTACAGGAGGGCACTGTTATGACTTCATCAGTGTTCTGCCTATCCTCCATATCTAATCACAGGCTAACGGCTTAGTCCGTGACCAAGCTGTATTGCTTAAAGGAGAACTCTGGATAAATAAACTCTTAACCCTTGCAGTGGGGCTACCCCCACATTGCAAGGGTTAAATGCTCATTTTGTGTAACAGCTACAATCACAGAGTTATACTCAGCTGAACCACTATCCTGGCTTTCTCTTACACCGCTCCCTTCTCTCCAGCGATGGAATGTGCCTTGGTGCCCTCACTTCCAATACGCTGTATTGGACGTGACGACTCACAGGACCTTAGACCGCTGGAGCACGGAGGGGAGCAAGGTTGAAGGGACCGGTCTAGGAGCAAGCCGGGATCGTGGTTAGGTTTTGTATAACTTTGTTATTTTAGCTCCCTAGACAAAACGAGCACTTAACCCTTGCAGTGTGGGGGTAGCCGCACTGCATGGGTTAAGATTTTATTTGCCCAGAGTTCTTCTTGAACTGCATTAGAGAAAAGTAAGGTCACTGACCTGACTGTACTGTCTGGCATTGATGTGCGTGTCGTAACATTAGCAAACTGCAAAATAGTTCTTGTATATGTATTTCAACTGTTTACCTGTTCTCCAGGAGTTCCCCTCAAATGTTGCCTAATAGCCTTTAGCAAAAGAGCTTGAATGAACTAAAGCTGGCCCTAGCACAGGGCCCCATCTCAGTCCAGCATTTTTTGAGGTTTCAGTCACTACTTTACCACACTCAATTTGACTGATAATTTGATTGGCTGGATTCCAGACGTAAATGTTATGGCTCCAAGGGAACTCGGGTGATTGTCAGCATGAATATGAATTCAGGAAGTATTCACTAATGTCGAAAAATGCTCAGTATCTCTCACTATTATTTCATGTGTATCATATTGTTGAAACATTGCAATCATTTACATCACTGTACAAACAATACCTTGGAGATGTACTGTTTTAGTTCACTCCGTTCAATCTCCCACCCACATCGATCATTAAGAAACTGCAGCAGAAAGTCCGTCCATTTCTTTTCTTCTCTGTGCTCTCTCTGTATCACTTCCAAAACCGCCTTCAGCTCAAGCAGTATTCCTCTGTTTTCACCTGCCTGCAATGTGCAAGAAGATATTTATGTGTTGGAATATATCTATACGTACAAACCACACAGCATTCTGAAGATGAAATAAACCTGTTACTACTTCTGGATGAGCCAAGTCCCCAGCCTTCACATGGACAAAATCCAGCACTAGGCTGCCCATAAGCAAACAGCTTGACATTTTACAAAGGCCTAATAAAATGAAAGCATATAACCAAAAGCTATTTTGTGCTTGCATGTAGATTTATTATTTAAAAAAAAGAAAGGATCCCAACTCTAGCCAAACTTTTTTTTTATAGTTTTGGATGGAACAGAAAATCGTTAGAACCTCTTGGATTTAAAAAAAAAATCATTTTATTCATGTCTCTGTCCCCATTTAGAAGAATAACCCTTATTTACTGTGTGGTGATTGCAACAGGAAGTGAGAGTAATCTCCTCTCACAAATAGCCTAAAAATAAATGGCTGAGGTGCCAGTTCAAGGATGTTATATTTCACCTTTTATAAAACCTGGAACAAATAATAATGTCAATGCCAATAGCAGGTATTCAAATGTACTACTTAAAGCAGGGGTGTCAAACTCAATTTAATCGTGGGCCACATCAACATTATGGTTGACCTCAAAGGGTCTGTAAGACTATATAAATGTATCTAATCTTTATCATAATTGCCTCTGCATTCGATTATCACTGGTTTTAGTAATAACCTAATACCTAGATCTGAAAGTAGAAGTCTAGGAAATGGCCTGGTGGGCGGGATTCGGCCCCAGGGCCTTAGTTTGACACATGTGACTTAAAGGAACAGTATAGTGTATTTTCAGGAAGCACATATTTGAGTTATAAATTACCTTAGACAACCCAGCGAGCAAGGTAAAAGGGGTAAAAAAAAACATAAGAGGTGGAGAAGAGTTCCTCTTTAACAACTGTTCAGATAAGTAATCTGCCACAAAACATAATTTTTTAGTGTGTCAGCTTATTTACAGATTTGCATTGTGAGAAGGAGCAGTAAAGCACAACCACACTGTGCGGAAATGTAAAGCATTAAGCAGAGCATGCGTGAGTATTGAGCAATTATGGCTGCTCCTATGTACATGCAGTATTTAATTACAAACTACCATTTATGGATGAAACTTTGATAGTTGGCCTATGGTGCCAGCATCACTTTTGCAACATTTTTCTTCAGTTTTCAGAAATCACATTCATATTCAAGAACTTTTTTAAAGGAAACAATCAAAGGATAAAGCCTGTATAGGGCAGGTTCTACACTGGCTTCTGATTACTCCCTATTCTTCAGTTGAGGGTCATCGGAAGCATCCCATGCATCAGAACCCAAGTCGCATGAGAAAAAGTGACATGTCAAATTGCAGAACGATGGCTTCTAACAAGCTCTGCCTGCTAGGGTATAGGTAAAGTTGCATACGCAACAGACTGCTAATGCTGGCCATACCCTAGGGGGGTTATTTACAAAGGAGCTGAAAAATTAAGCCAAAGCATTGGCTAATCCTTCGGCTCACTACGGCCGCGGAGCCCTTCGGTTCAGCCGAACCGAAGGGCTGCTGTACGGGCTATTCACAATAGCCCAAACAACTCAACTGAGCCGAACACATTTGTGCTTCAGCTTGGCTGAGCTGAACACACAGCTGAATCGGGGAGAACAGCTGTGTTCTCCTCCGGCTGGTAGAATGGTAGACCATTCTACCCGCAAATGTAAAAAAATAGGTGGAGCTAGCGCTGACATCACCACTGGCTCCGCCTATTTGTTATCATGCCAGTGACCCGGGTGGGGGGGACTCTGGAAAAGCACCCTCGCAGTGCCGAGGGCATGTAGCCTGGTATGGCAGGGCGGGGCAGCCAATCAATCTTTGTCCCCCCTTCCTGCCCTGCCAAGCCTGTGCTCGGATTAAGGGTTCTTCTCACTGCCTCCATAAACGGTAAACAGCATGGATGGGGAAATCTCCCATGCCGGGCTATTGAATTCTGACAGCCAGCACTCCCAGCTGTTAGAATACCTGAAAAGTGGCTGCAGCTGATTAGCAGCAGTCATGGTTCAGTTGACAATTTTCATCCCGGCTTCTTCAGCAAGGGGACTGAAAATTTGAATTTTGTCAATCGTTGTGGTGCTGGCAAGGCCACACACAGGATCTGGTCAATATCCGAGTAGTGTATGGCCACCTTAACACAGATATGTTGTTTTCTAACCTAAAAGACATCTAAGCCTAGAACATCACATGACAATTCTACTTGAGAGACTTATTGCAAAGTCTGACTTTTGGATCCCTAACTCCTACAATTGGCACAGTCTTTTAGAGTATGTTAATATCAGGAAAAGTTCACAGAGCCTTAGAGAATTCCTTTTCTAGAAAGTTTCATGTGAGCGCAAAAGCATATCTGCCACTGATTTATTTGCTGGACTTTGGAAACTGAAATGTAATTTCTGTTCCAATTAAACAAATTATATTACACTTATCACATAACTTTGCTTAAAGTGACAGCAAAGTAAATGTATTCACTAACATGTTTTTAGGACTTCAGATATGTTTTAAAATGTTCATTTGTAAATTTCTGGCCCTCTATAGGAAGCTACACCCTGCAGTTTAATTCTTTAACATGTGTATTCCAGAAATAATACACAGTCAGCATATTTTCTACAAAAACACTATCGACAGAAAACCAAGAGAGGATAGGCATCATGCAGTATAAGAGAAAATACTTTTTACTTATTATCTACACCCAAACACATGAATATAATACATTGCAGCTTACTGGTCCTTAGATGTGGTAGCTGCATTAGTTTTCTTTTTTTTTTTTAAGTAGATTTTTTGCAAGTACAGAAACATATTTTTATCCTGTCAGAATTCCAGTGTCTTTCTAAATTGCTGTGCACCATGCTGAAAGGGTGGCAAAGCTTCAAGGCGTTCTCTGATTGAACGAGGGGCAGATTATGACATCTCTGCCTCTTGTGCAATGAGAGATCGCCGTGTATGCGTTAATAAAAAATACTAGGCATTCTCTGATTGGGCACTATGACAAGGGAGGACTCCCTGTGTTTATAGAGCAGAGGGGAAGTCGCTCCATACAGCGCAGTGACAGGTCCTACGAGATCACTGTAAAACACTGTAATAGCTCCAGCTAATTTAGTGCATCACTGGATTACCATGGGCTGACCAGATAAAAAATATGTATTCTTACAATAATACCTGGAGTCTGAAGCTGTCACACGACGGCTCTATAGATCGGGAACTGAGCGATCACATACCGCTGATCACTCAGCTCGCGGTCTTCTCCCTGCAGAGAGTGGTGACTGTCAGTCCCTATTCTCCACAGAGATTCCCCCCTCCCCTCTCCGTTGCTCCAGAGCTCATTTGAAAGACAGACGGGGGAGGGGGCAGGCAGACCTGGCTCTAGAGAGTAGGGACGTGCGGTCAGGGGAGGCAGGTGAGGCAAAGGGGTTGATTTACTAACCTTTTAAACACACCACGAACGTGTATACACCTCTGTAGTGTGTTCCCTCCCAGCATGATCTATGGGAGGAATCGAAACACCTTTGTAGTGTGTACACACCCAGCAGGTGTGTTGTTCAAAGCCCTGCAATGAATTGCAAGGTAATGTGGTGTAAATTAGCTCTATGTTATGTTGCTTGCGTTGATGAATGCAGGAATGTAAATGCATGAGCTAACCATTTTTGTCTAAACTGTGAAGCAGCATTATATATGCATCATGTGCATGATTTTTCCATATATGGCATTAGTGGAAATATGCTTTTAGAGACTTTTTGGTTGATAAATACGTTTTGCTGTGTGAAAATCACACACACCTGGTGTGTGTGTGTGTGTTTAGGTTAGTAAATCAACCCCAAAGCCTCACGTAGAATTATGGAGGAAAAAGCTGTCAGCTTCGACTCTGAAGCCGACAGCTTTTTCTCTATTCAGATCGGCATCTATCAGGTTACACAGCAGGGAAATCCTCCCCGATGTGTAACCTGTCATGGACGGAGAGCTGACTGTTAATTACGGGCAGTGCTGCATCCAGCTTTTGACAGGTAGTTATGTTACACGGCAGCAGGCTTCCCCAATACTTGTGTAACCTAACTATTGAAGCCAGAGCTGTCACAGCCTATACTCTTTGTTAGAAGCTTGAGCTCTGTGGATGGCTTGGACCAATGGCAAAAAAAGGCCTATGGCAAAAAAGAACTATGGCCAAAAAAGGTTGGGCCATAGTTCTCTTTTAATTGTTACATGCACTTTTATATTTTGTATCTACCTTTGCTGCCCTGCACTACTACTGGAACACATACAGCCACTGAGATAATGAAATGCCCACCACCACACATTGCCCCCTCAGTCATTTGCTTGCATTGCTCTGCATACTGACCCTTCCTGCCTGTGCTTTATGTAACTTTATATCTTTTAGGGCGTCATGAGCCCAGTAAGTGATTGACAGGCAAGAAAGACGTGATGCCACAAAGAGTTCTGTGAAAACTGCAATGATCTAAATAAAATAGTAAACCACAGCAAGCAACAGACAGTCATGTCTTGTTGTATCTCTACATAGATTTAATTATTATGAATTTCAGATGTCTAATTCTGTTTCAACAATATATCATTTTGTTGTCTTTTAAGGGTGTAAATACCCTGTTTCCCCGAAAATAAGACCTACCCTGAAATTAAGACCCAGTACCATTTTTGGGAATTGCTAAAATATAAGACCTACCCCGAAAAAAAGACCTAGCTGTGACCATTCCCAGGGCCGGTGGTGGCATAAGGGGGAACTTGAAGAGCCATGGGAGAGGTAGGAGAGACTCACGGTGCCAACGAAGCCAGCGCTAGAGGAAGCGAGGCGGCACCGGAGGGAGCAGAGCCACATAAGCTGATGCCTCCTCTACAGCGCCGACTCCTGCCACAGGCGGAGTGATACCAAATGCACTCTGCCTGTGAGGAATCAATAGTGAAAGCGCGCATCGCTCATTCTGATTACCAAATTGCTCTTGGAAAGGTGCGGCACCCCTGATTGCCCTGATCACCCTATTCTTAACTTTGCCATTTTGGATTATTTCATTTGGATTTGCATTAACTTTGGATTGTTATATATGAAAAAAAAAAAAAGAAGACCTACCCCGAAAATAAGAACCAATTGTGTGTTTTTTTGAGCCACAAAAAATATAAGACAGCGTCTTATTTTCGGTAT